AGCTTTTTGCCCTTGGTTTTCACCCAGTGATCTGCCCAGTAACAAACCTCCTGTATTAGAGTGCCTACATGCTGGATGTGATAAGCATAGGGGACACCTCTGGACAGCAGCATTCTCATTCTGTTAAATGTACTAGCAGATTTAATACACTAACATATTGATGCCAAACTCCAGCAAATTCCTTATCTCAAAAGGAAAAACTGTTCTCGATCTGCTTATAAACATTTTACATAAATAAAAGCTGATCATTGTAAGCACTCCTGCTAGTGTTAAATGGTTTGTCTTATAGCTCTTTAACTGATACGTTCTGCTGGAAAGCTTGATCTTTGGAAAAACTACAGTTTTACTGGCTGGATTGCTAGATGAAAATATGTGAAAGAAAGCCTAAATAAGCAGTAAAGCAGTATTAAAAACAAAAGCGAACATTTGTTTTATTGCAGCTTAGGTGTGATAGCTGCATTAGATTTTCTTTTTAGACTTACTTTCCTTTAATTTTCATCTTGCGATCCAGCCAGTAAGTCTTATTATTCAAAAAGAACAAGCTCTCTTCAACATGTATCAGTTTACAGAGATAATGAAAACCAGTTAACACTGGCAGAGGTGCTTAGAAGGATCAGTTTCTATTTATTCATGAAAAAAAACCTTAAAAAGTAGAACTTAAGGCAAAAAATTATTTTTTTTTTTTTTAAAGGGAGAGTTACCTTTACTTCCTGTCCCATAACCAAAAACAGGAAGTGAGGAAATCTATGCAAATTAAGGGAATTTCTTGGGAACTCTCAGATCAACAGAACTAGTGTCCCTATTGGAAGATTTCCCCTCAGTTTTCTGGGGACAACCCAAAATGTGGGGCTTATTTTACTTTCACTTTCCATGATAATGCTAAACAAGACAATGCTAAACAGGACAAATTGAGATGGTGCATCTCTTAAAAAAAAAAAAAAAAAAGAAAAAGAAAAAGAAAAAGGAAAGAAAAGAAAAGGTGTTCGAATCCATCTCCACTCTATCCAAAACAAAAAGTTTTGCCTCAAGTTATATTTTAATTCGAAAAGGAAAAAACAGTTTTCTGTAATTGATTAGAAAGTGTGAGCTGGAGTTTGACTTCAAATTGTTGTGTATTTAAATCTGCTAGTGTATTTAAACCTCCACACAACACTGACAATGTTGCGGTTTTGGTGTGCCCCCTGTGCTCATTCATTGTGGAAGCACACTAATACATGAGGTATTTAACTGGCCAGATCACCAGGTGGGGAGCAAAAAAAAGAACTTAATGCAGCCACCACATCTAATAATTGGTAAGATACATTACATTTTGTTTTGGGGTTTAATATCACTTCAGTGTATCATCCCTGTCAATCTTTAGCAGAGACAAATGTAACTTGATAAACTTAAAAAAAGTAGCAAAAAGTGTAAACAGAAGTTACATATACAGCGGGTAAAATAAGTATTGAACATGTCACCATTTTTCCCAGTAAATATTTCTGAAGGTGCCATTGACATTTGAAATTTTCACCACATGTTGTTAACAACCCATGCAATCCATACATACAAAAAAACCAAAACAAATAAGTTCAGAAATTAAGTTATATGTAATAAAATGGAAGACACGGGGGAAAAAGTATTGAACACATGAAGAAAAGTAGATGCAAATAAGCATGGAAATCCAAGACACCAGCTGAAATCTATCAGTAATTAGAAATCAATCCTGCCCCTTGTCAGTGCAAATTAATATCAACTGGTTCAGTTTCAACTGATGGCCTATAAAAAGGTGTCTCATTGCCAAGGCGTCGCACAAGAAACACCTCATGATGGGTAACAGCAAAGAGCTCTCTCAAGACCGTCACAACCTTATTGTTGCAAAACATACTGATGGCATTGGTTATAGAAGGATTTCTAAACTTCTGAATGTTCCAGTGAGCACTATAATCCAGAAGTGGAAAGAACATAATTTCACCATAAACCAGCCATGACCAGGTGCTCCTCACAAGATTTCTGACAGAGGAGTGAAAAGAATTATCAGAAGACTTGTCTAAGAGCCAAGGAACACTTGTGGAGAGCTTCAGAAAGACCTGGAATTAGCAGGTACAATTGTTTCAAAGAAAACAATAAGTAATGCAGTCAACCACCATGGCCTGTATGCACGCTCACCACACAAGACTCCATTGCTGAAGAAAAAGCTTGAAGCTTGTTTAACCACTTGCCTACCGGGCACTTATACCCCCTTCTTTACCAGGCCAATTTTCAGCTTTCAGCGCTGTTGCACTTTGAATGACAATTGCGCGGTCATGCAAGATTGTACCCATATGAAATTTTTTTCTCACAAATAGAGCTTTCTTTTGGTGGTAATCGCCGCTGGGCACTTTACTTTTTGCGCTATAAACAAAAAAAGTGCAAACAATTTGAAAAAAAAAAAGTTTTTTTGTTTCTATTATAAAATTTTTCAAACAGGTAATTTTTCTCTTTCACTGATGTGCGTTGATGAGGCAGCACTGATGGGCACTAATAGGCGGCACTGATAGGCAGCACTGATGGGAACTGATAGGCAGCACTGATAGGCAGCACTAATGAGGTGGCACGGATAGGCGGCACTGATAGGTGGCACTAATAGACAGCACTGATAGGTGGCACTGACTGGCATCACTGCTGGGCACTGACTGGCGGCATTGCTAGGCACTGACTGGCGGCACTGCTGGGCTGCACTGATGGGCACAGGTGGGTGGCACTGGTGGGCACAGGTGGGTGGCACTGCTGGGCACAGGTGGGTGGCACTGCTGGGCACAGGAGGGTGCACTGCTGGGCACACTGCTAGGCACAGGTGAGCGCACTGCTAGGCACAGGTGGGCGGAACTGGTGGGTGGCACTGCTGGGCACCGATCATCAGTGCCCTGATGATCGGTGCCGATCCCTGCTCTGACAACTGCCGGTTTTTGGCAGTACTTTCCTCACGCTCTGACAGCGTGAGGAAAGTGCAGCCGAGAACCGGCAATTGCATTTCCCGGTGATCAGCGTGTCATTGGACACGGCTGATCACGTGGTAAAAGGCCGCTGTGATTGGCCTTTTACCACATCACATGATCAGCTGTGTCCGTAGGACACAGCGATCACGGAGATTACCGGGTGCGCGCCCCCGGGGGCACGCAGGAGAGCGCGTTGTGGGAGGACGTCATATGACGCCCTCCCAGAAGTGGCCGGCCGCAGTGTAGCCGTCATTCGGCTATCTGCGGTTTGCAGGTGGTTAAAGTTTGCTGCACAACATTTTAGACAAGCCTGTGACATACTGTGAGAACATAGTCTGGTCAGATGAGACCAAAATCAACTGTTTGGGTGCCATAATACACACCATGTTTGGAGGTCAAATGGCACTGCACATCACCCCACAAACACTATACGAACAGTGAAGTTTGGAGGTGTAAACATCATGTTGTGGGGCTGTTTTTCAGCATACGGTACTGGCAAATGCCATGTCGTTGAAGGAAGGGTGAATGGAAAATGTACCAAGACATTCTTAATCAAAATCTGCTGCCATCTACCAGTATGATGAAGATGAAACGATGGTGGACATTTCAGCAAGAAAATGTTCCCAAACACAGAGCCAAGGAAACTCTCAGTTGGTTTCAAAGAAAAAAAATAAAGCTGTTAGAAAGACCCAGCCAATCACCTGCCTTGAATCCAATAGAAAATCTATGGAAAGAACTAAAGATCAGAGTTCATGGAAGTGGCCCATGGAATCTTCAAGATTTGAAGACTATGTGGAAGAATGGGTCAAATCATGCCTGAACAATGCTTGCGACTAGTTTCTTCATACAAGAGGCATCTTGAAGCTTTTATTACCAACAAAGGATTTTGCATGAAGTATTAAATAAGTTTCAGTTAGTGAGTTCAATACTCTTTTCCTGTACCATTCCTTTTTATTACACATAAAGATTTCTAAACTTATTTGTTTAGGTTTCTTTGGATGCATGGATTGCATGGGCCGTTACCAATATGTGGTGCAAATTTCATGTTAATAGCACCTTTAAAAAATATATTTATTGAGAAAAATGTTGATGTGTTCAATACGTATTTTACCCACTGTATTCTATACAAATACATTAAAGTGGTTGTAAACCTCTGACATGCAAAATGAAGAAATGAACAGGAGTCACCGCTAAAGGGTTTTCAGACTCCAAAAGATGAAAGGGGATGAGGGAGGAGAGCTCCAGTACACAGCCCGTGACTGATAGTCTAAGCTGTGCAAGTTTCTTGTGTGCTGTGTGTGTGGGTTGTCCCTTCCCTCCACTTAGCTCTCAGGTTACACAGATCTCTTCTCTTTGAGCTGTGCAGTGTGTGATCAGATCTCTGCTCCCTGACTCTGGAAGCTCAGGCAAGCTGTGTAACTTTTGGACTTTGAACTGATGTACAGAAGAAAGGGCTGCAGATAAACAGGTACAACTTATAAAGGAGGGTTCCTTTCATCTCTGTGTATCAGAGACTAGTCTCACTTCACTGGATAAATGTAAGGGTTGTAAACAAAATAAAAAACAGAACAACATTTTCCACAATAGTTGTTCTTTTAGTGCCACAATAGTTCTTTTAGTACATATATGTGGATTGGATGCGGTTTGAACCACATCCAATCTGCATGACATGTGAAATAACATTGCTTTCTATGGTTCCTGTTCACACATGACTGGTGCACGGCTGGTGCAGATTCAGTGCAATTTTAAAAAGAGTCATATACAATTTCTGAGCAGTGCGGTCTGTTTCAGGTGCAGATTACAGGCTATTGACTTTTATGGGAACTGTTTAGAAACCGCACACGTTTGAACAGGATAAGACCCTGAGCTAATTCTATCGTGAATCTGACGTGAACCTGTGAACAGCTTCTGTATCAATTAGCTGTGAAACCTGAGCTTCAATCCGCACTGCACATGTATGAATCAGCTCTAAATCATTTTGTCTAATAAATATTGCTGCCACTTTACGTTTGAAGAAGTTTGGAAAATCTGCAGTAACTCAAAGATTTAACAGATACCGAAAATTACCTTAATGATATCAGAAATGCCTTTATCAGAGCAGCACTCAATGAATGTCTCAATTGGATAGTTTAAACCAGGAACCAGAAGTGGAATCTGAGGAGAAAGTATTGGACCATAGACAGGAAGTTACAAAATATTTTTCTTAGGTACAAGATAAAGAACAACATTGCTTTGGTCTTTGGTTGCTAATGAAGGCGAATAAACCAAAAATAAAAACCCAAAACAAAACAAAAAAAAAACCCAAAAAGGTATAAGAGTAACTTTGTAGTCTTCAAATGTTTATTGATAGAAGGGATGACCCTTCCTTGTATGCACAGGTGTCTGCTTCATTCTTCTATCTGCCTTGGCTGTCTGCAGCAAATTCAAGGTGGAATATTTATTGTGTTACCTCCACATAAAGCATATCTGCAATTAGCAAAACCTGAATCTGAATATTTTTTACCACTTGAAAACCAGCATGTTAAACTCCATTCCTGTTCAGGCCATTGTTCAGTTTCCAGCACTGTGATATTTTGACTAACAATTACTTGGTCATGCAACACTGTACCCAAATTATTTTTAGATCATTTTTGAGACAGATATAGCTTTCTTTTGGTGGTAATCACCACTGGGTTTTGTTTTACTATATAAAAAGGAAAAAAAAACAAAAACTCCCTTAGTTTCTGTCTTTCAGATTTTTGCCAAAATGTATTCTACATTTCTTTGGTTAAAAAAAAAAAAAGAAAATAAGTGTATGTTATTTAGCCTGTGTGAATATAATAGAGTCTACAGTACAAAGGCCCCCAAAGTTACACTTTTTTGGAAAGTAGACACTCCAAGGTATTTAGTGAGAAGCATTGTGAGTTTCTCGAAGTTTTTGGAAAATGAGGAACGTAAATTAAATTTGATTTTATTTCACAAACATTGTCTTTGTCTGTTTAACATGTTATTTCCCACACACAGCATAGGTATACTGACAATTGCACAAAAAACACATACCACATGTGTTACTGGCTGCACTGGCTTTGGTGACACTGTACTGATGTGGTGGCAACAGGGACAATGTTGATGGTTATACTGGTTCTGGTGACACTGAGACTTATGTGGCTAGCGATCAAGAATATTTTTGCTGGCTGAACTAATTTGGTTCCACTTTCACTAGTGTGGCAGTGATCAGGAACACTGATGCTGACTTACACAGGTCTGGTGGCACTGGGTTTGGCATGGCTAGCGATCAGAAACACAGTTGCCGATTTACACTATTGCTGCAGTCAGGAACACTTTTGCTGGATTACACTGGTCTGGTTAAACTGGGACTGCTGTGGCGGTAATAAGAAACACTGTTGCTGGCTGCTGGTGTGGCAGTGATCAGCAACACTGTTGCTAGCTTACACTGGTCTGACAACACCAGGACTGGCATGGTTAGCAATCAGGAACACTGTTGCTTACTTATACTGGTTTGGTGCGGCTGCAATCAGGAATACTGTTGCTGGCTTACATGTCGGGTGAAACTAAAACTGGTGTGGCAGTGACAAGAAACATTGCTGCTGTCTGTTGGTGCAGCAACGTCAGGACTGGCAATGGCTAGAGATCAGGAACATGGTTGCTGACATACACTTCTCTGGTGACACTGGGACAAGTGTGGCTGCAATCAAGAATACTGATGCAGGCTTACAGTAGTCTGGTGACCCTGGGACTGGTGTGGTGGTGATAAACACTGTTGCTGGATGCTGGTGTGGCAGTGATCAGCAACACAGTTACTAGCTTACAGTGGTCTGGTGACACCGGGACTCAAGAACAAGGTTACTGGCTGCAGTGGTCTGGTGGGGAAATGATCATGAACACTGTTGCTGGATGCAGTGGTCTGGTGACACTGGACTGGTGTGGTGGTGATCAGGGATGCTGTGACTGGCTGCACTGGTATAGTGAAACTGTGCTGGTGTGGCTAGTATTCAGGGACACTGGGCCCTGTACCTCAATCTGTGATCAGATGTGTCCAAAAGACAGGGCAATAACAGGGTGTGCACAAGGAGGAAGTTTATTAAATGCCGTCAGGGGTGAGCTGTCTGACCGTTTACATACAGTAGTCGGATGGTAAATGGTTAACATCACTAGTAAGTCACCTGAGCCAAGCTTCAGGTGGATGGGTCTACAATGGCTTTGGCTTTACCTTTATGCAACTACAGGGAAATGGTTTAGATCCAACTGTTAGGCTTAGGTGCTCACATAATGACTGCATACACGGTTAGATCTAATTGTGATTCAAGCCATTGAATATCCAAGCAGATAGGAAAAAAATCTGATTATACTATATATAGTAAAATAAACTAATAATAAAATCTACGCAACAACCATCCCATGTTTATTAGTACATTTAGTGTAAAAAGAAGTTGTTTACTAAGCAGTTTGGATGTGAAGATTAGTCAACTGGAAAGCTGAAATGTAATGCATAACAAGAATAATGAGAACACAGAAAAAAAAAAAAAAAAAGTGTACCTCCCTTCTCCAGCACTTTTTTATTAACCAAGTTTCATTTGCTGTGAATACTACACTAACAAAAATGCCCCCTAACACTCAAGCATGTTAAACTGCTAAGTGAACATTTTTTCCAATGGTATTTGCAAATGTATGAAATCAAAGACCTCTGTTTAAATTTTATTAGGTTTATACATTTGGAAAGCCACATTACATGGCAATGTTATGGCATGTCTACAGAGGGTGATCCCAGTTTGGGAAGCAAAGTATTAAATAAAATAAAGGCAAGCTTCCAGTAAAATTCTTGTCATTTATGAATGCATGCTTGTCATGTTGTATACAAGTTTTCTTTGACCTACCTTGAAAAATGCTGGCTTTAACTGGTATAGTCGTTCATCATACAGGAAACTAATTAAAAGCTGCATGGATGGCCGGTTCTGTGATGTGTTCTGTAAGTTAAGAATCAGTTTGAAACGAGGACCAATACCCTGTACCTGGAATAAGAGAGGATTTTTTTAAAATGTTCATCACTAAAGACAGAAAGAGAAAAGCTGACATGGGCAGGATAGACCTTTAAGGCGATATGACTAAATATATGGCAAAAAATAAACATTTCTAAACTGCCATTGCAAACACACAGACAGCTAATACTTTGATCAGCTCAGCTTAGCTATTGAGCACCCATTTCCTCCAATCTCAGAGATGTTGTGTTAAGAGATACTGAACAACCTTATTGGTCAAGGACCCTCCACTTTCCAGTAATTGAAAATGAGACACAGGGTGAAGGTACACAACTGGCACAACTGAAGTAGTTAGATTACTGAGCAGAAAATTGCATTGATATTTGCAGACAGAGAGCATATTTTGATAGTTGACCACCCAGCTCCTGCTAAAACTAAAAAAAAAAACAAAACAAAACAACACTCCCCCCCCCCAAAAAAAAAACAAAACACCACTTCCTTGGCCTTCAAGACTCTACTCTTTGCTCACTCTCCTCCACTCCTCTTCCTGTTGGTGTCACCAAAGGCTTTGTCCTTAAGATTCCTATTCTCTTTCTACATGTCTTCCCTTAGTCAGCTGATAACCTTACATACTGATGACATGCAAATCTCACTAATCCTCAGCTCTTCCTTTCAGTCTCCTTGTGCATCACAAATTTACTGATGTACATATTGGTATGGCTGTCACACCACTTCCTTAAATTTGATCTAAAAAAAACCCAAAAAAACAAAAAAACACACAACTCCTTATACACAATTCTAGACTTACAGTTAATCCAGAGTAAGGCATAAAAAACCCAATAAAGCATGATCCAATTCACTTCCTTCCTGATCCCCCAAGAGAAAATCTGATATTCCCTGGATCAACTGCCCCTGTTGCTACCTCTAAATATTAGTATCCAGTTATATTTTGTGCATTTAGGAATGAATACAGCAATACAGCAATTTTTTTTTTTAAAACAAACAATCGACTGAGCTGGCCAGAACCAATTTTTGATGGAGTCTATTCCACATTTTCACAGCTATTACTGCGAAGAAGCCTTTCCATATGTGAACTCATCACCAAGTTCACTATAGGGACCATTTTTGTATTTATGCATGGCAAACACATTCCCCCCCCCAATCACCTCTTCTCAAGAAAGAATAAAATTCAGTTCAGCCAATTTTCCTCATAGCGGAGCTCCTACATGCCTCTTCTCTGCACTTCTTCAGTTCTCAAATATCCTTTTTGTGAACTGGTGACCAAAATTGAACTGGATATTTTAAATGAGGTTTTCAACATTTTTTACAAATAAATATCTGAAAAGTGTGGCGTCCATTTGTATTCAGCCCCCTTTACTTGGATACCCCTAACTAAAATCTAATGGAACCAATTGCCTTCAGAAGTCACCTAATTAGTAAATAGTCCACATGTGTGTAATTTAATCTCAGAATAAATACAGCTGTTCTGTGAAGCCCTCAGAGGTTTGTTAGAGAACAGCATCATGAAGGCCAAGGAACACACTAGACAGGTCAGGGATACAATTGTGGAGAAGTTTAAAGCAGGGTTAGGTTATAAAAAAATATCCCAAGCTTTGAACATCTCATGGAGCACTGTTCAATCCATCATCTGAAAATGGAAAAAAAAACAAAAAGTATGGTACAACTGCAAACCTACCAAGACATGCCTGTCCACTTAAACTGACAGGCCGAGCAAGGAGAGCATTAATCAGAAAAGCAGCCAAGAAGCCCATGGTAACTCTGGAGGAGCAAAAACAAAAAGGAAACAGTCCCCTGCGCTCAAAAGTGTTATATTAGGATGGAATAGTATCTGGTCCTTCACGCAACCACTGCTAGCAAAGGCCTTACTGTCCTCTAGGGTTCAGTGGAAGAACACAGGGACGATAGCTGTAAAATCGGGAAAAAACAGGGCGCACCAGCCTAGTGCATTACCTAAGGTGATACCTTTAATAGATTAAAAGAAGAAATATACTCACAAACACTGTGATAATAAAGGCATATCAAATTCAAAGCAACCAGTACACTGGATCAGCTCCCAATTTCGAGAGGATCCTCCAGATGGCTGATGCGTTTCAAGCAGTGGTCTCAGGGCCTATGCTGTCTTACACTAACAGTCTTTAATCACAGAAACAGAGGTTGCATGGCATAATGCAAGCCCCTCCCATTGGAAAATGGGGACACTGCCCCACTGGAGGGTCCTCTCGAGATTAGGAGCTGATCCGGTGTACTGGTTGCTTTGAATTCTATACGCCTTTGTTATCACCGTGTTTGTGAGTATATTTCTTCTTTGAATCCATTAAAAGTATAATCTTAGGTAATGCACTAGGGCTGATGTGCCCTCCTTTCTCCTGTTGTTATAACTCTGGAGGAGCTGCAGAGATCCACAGCTTAAGTGGGAGTCATGCACTCCAAAAATCTGGCCTTTATGGAAGAGTGGAAGGAAGAAAGCCATTGATGAAAGAAAGCCATAAGAATTCGAGTTTGCAAGAAGCCATGTGGAGGACACAGCAAACATGTGGAAGAAGGTGCTCTGGTCAGATGAGACCGAAATTAAACTTCTAGGCCTAAAACCAAAAACGCTATGTTTGGCGGAAAACTAACACTGCACATCACCCTGAACACACCATTTCCACCGTGAAACATGGTGGTGGCAGCATCATGTTGTGGGGATGCTTTTCTTCAACAGGGACAGGGAAGCTAGTCAGAGTTGATGGGAAGATCGATGGAGCCAAATACAGGGCAATCTTAGAAGAAAACCTGTTAAGTGTCTGCAAAAGGCTTGAGACTGGGGCAGAGGTTCACCTTCCAGCAGGACAACGACCCTAAACATACAGCCAGAGCTACAATGGAATGGTTTAGAGCAAAGCATATTCATGTGTTAGGAAGGCCTTGTCAAAGTCCAGACCTAAATCCAATTGAGAATCTGTGGCAACACTTGAAAATTGCTATCACAGATGCGCTCTATCCAATCTGGCAGAGCTTGATCTATTTTGCAAAGAATGGGCAAAAATTCCACTCACTAGATGTACAAAGCTGGTAGAGACATACCCAAAAAGACTTGCAGCTGCAATTTCAGTGAAAGGTGGTTCTACAAAGTATTGACTCAGAGGGGCTGAATACAAATGCACTCCACACTTTTCAGATATTTGTAAAAAAGTTTGAAAACCATTTATTATTTTCCTTCCACTTCACAATTATGTGCTACTTTGTTTTGGTCTATCACATAAAATCCCCAAAAATACATTTTAATTTTTTTGTTGTAACATGACAAAATGTGGAAAATTTCAAGAGGTATGAATAATTTTTCAAGGCACTGTATGCATGTTTTTAGCCCCCAAATGCATAACCTTTTATTTATCAACATTAAAGCTCATATGCCACATACAGTAGTTGCCCAATTAATTAGTGCACTGAGGTTGGCATGTAAACTAGAGACATCTTTAACTATGTAACTCTACTGCATGGCTTGGTGTCATCTGCAAACACTGAAATGGTACTTTTAATTCCAGACTATATATAATTTATAAAAGATGTTAGGAAGTAAGGGTCCCAACACTGTCTGAACTGTTCTGGGCTCATAGACTTAAACTGGAAAGCCTGAACTTATCTCTACATGGGCATGCTGGAAGCCATTTTGTTCTTAATATTCTATGTTCATGGTTTCTGAACAAGGGTTCTAACATTATTTTCAGTGAATTCTTATCTCTTAAATTTAGAGTTTTTTTTTTAATCAGCCAAAAGGTTAAAAGTCAACTTTAACACAGGAGAACTCAAAATCATTCCTAATCCTATACTGCCCCCTTCAGGTAATTGGGATCATTTAGTAGAGAAAATGACACCTAGTGTAACTTCATAATTAAGCAAGATAAGCTATGTCCGCCTAGGTTCTTTTGGGATAATAAAAGTTAGGACACACAGGAGACAAGAAAACAACAGATGGACACACAGACACAAGCTAGCCAAGAGCTGACATACGTTACCAATATTTTCGATGGTATCAGTGATAACTCTCATTTTTCTGCAAGCAGTTGGTACTAGCCTTATATCTCCAGCTAAATCATTTAGTCATTTAATCGTTTAGCTAAATCGTTTAGTTACGTTTATGGTTAGCAACTGTAGTATAAATTATTTTCAGATCAATTCTCTGGGGGGATAATTCTCTTTTAAAATACCCCGAAGCTAATTTCAGCTTCTAGTCAATGGTTTAGCTGGGTATATATGACAAAGTACACAACTTTGTGGAACAGTTGATCTTGGTCTCAGATAGATTCTAAGCTTATTGGATTGGCCTGTGTATGGTATTATAAATCAATTCATGCCAAGATACATGTTGAGCTTTGAATATCTGGTTGTAGAGAGATCATGTGGTTGATCTGCATAGCTGTTACCATATGTTGCTAAGTTACTGATAGTTTCTTACACTGCTTTGCTAAACAGTTAATTTCAATTTATTAATATTTGAAAATAACTGCTGGTTTGAATTTCTTACCAATATTTTTGAATAGATCATTGTAATGTTATTTTGATTTGTTTATTATCATCATCTATTATATTTCATTACCATTTTGTACTGATTTTATTATTAATAATAAGTATATATTTTTGCACATTATTGCTTTTTATTTCGTCTTCAAATTAGCACCAATAAAGAATTCAGATTATCAGTTGTTTTATGAAAATTAGTAGGGAATCTTCCTAATTCTAGATCCCCACCTGTTTTCATACATTATATACGGATTATTTTCTCAGAGCTAAATTTCTGACAACACTGAACCTTGGGGTACACCACCAATAACTTCAGACCATTCAAAGTATGAATCATTAAACACTGCTCTCTGAATATGGTCTTTTAGACAGTTTTCTATCCATTTACAAACTGAATTTTCTAAGCCTGTAGACTTTAATTTACACATTAGCCGTGTGTGAGGAACAGTCTCAAATGCTTTGCTAAAATCCAAGTATACTATGTCCACATTCACTCCTTTGTCTAAGTTTTTGCTTACCTTGTCATAAAAAGAAATCAGATTTTTTTTTTTTTACAACTTTGGTCTTTTGTGAATCCATGCTGACTATTGCTTAAAACATTATTTTCTAGCAAAAACTCTTCTATATGGTCTTTTATTAAACTCTCAAGTGTCTTCCCAAGCACAGAAGATAAACTAACTGGTCTGTAGTTACTTGGTAAAGACTATGACCCTTTTTAAGTATAAGCACACACTGGCGTTACGCCAATCCAGTGGTACCATACCAGTCTCTAAAAATTAGAAACTATGGCTTAGATATAACAGAGCTCAACTCTTTGAGGACAAACTTGGGTGTAAGCCATCTGGTCCAGGTACTTTATTAACATTTATTTTGTCTAAATGTTTCTGAACCAAACCAATTTTGGTCATTGTGGATCATTTGGAGCTACAGTGCTCAGCATAAAAGGGGTACACCCCTTTTGAAAAGTAAGGTTTCAATATCTCAATTAACACAAGAACAATTTCCAAAATTTTGACAAAACTGAGTTTTAAAATTGTTTAGCTCATTACATGAAAATAAGGTTAATAATATAACTAAGTAAAACTGAAGATTTTGTAATATAATTAGTTGATACAAAAATGAATCCACACCACAAGAAAAACTACTACATCTAGTATTTTGTATGAAAATTGGCGACATATTGCAACATCTATCTCAAGAACGACCTCTTTTAGAGCCTGGATGCTGAATGGAGAGTGATGCTCAACTTGTCTCTTCAGAATTCCCCCTAGGGGTTTGATTTGGTTCAGATCAGGAGATATACTTGGCCACTGAATCACTTTCACCCTATTCTTCAGAAACGCAACAGTGACCTTAGATGGGTGTTTTGGATCATTGTCATGTTGGAAAAGTGCACGATGACCAAGGGCACGGAGTGATGGTAACATCTTCTCTTTCAATATACTGTAGAGCAGTACATCTGAATTCATGATACTATCAATGCAATGCAGCTCCCCAATACCAGCAGCACTTATGGAGCCCCACAGAAGGACACCGCCTCCACCACATTTCACTGTAGGCACCGTGCATTTTTCTTTGTACTCCTCACCTTTGCAACAATATAGTTCTGAAGCCATCAGTTCCTAACATTCATAAGTCCAGAGTACAGAGTGCATGGGCCCTGGCAAATTCTAGGCAGGCTTTTTTGTGCATGGCACCAAAATGACACCCATGCATGCCAATTCTCTGCAGTGTACGCCGTAATGTGTCACAGTAAACAATCACCCCAGTTTGGCTTTCTACATCGTTGGGTAACTGCAGTGAACTTGCATGGCAATTTTCTTCAACCCTTCTAATCAGAAGATGCTCTTGTCGGGGTGTTAACTTCCATGGACAGCCCGGACGTCTCTGTGAGATGGTTGCAATTCCATCTTTATTTTTTTGTATCACTTTTGCTATAGTATTCTGACTGATAAGCAAAGCGTTGCTGATCTTCTTGTAGCCTTCACTTTTCTTTTGTAAAGACATTTTCTTTCTCAGGCCTTGTGACATTTCTGTTCCATGTGGTGTCATTGCTGACAGCATAAAATAGGAAAGGGGTTTCTTTGTTAAGTAACGCCCTTTTATAATCAACTATCTGCTGGACACCTGTTTATTGAATAATTAGACTCACCAGTAGTTGAATTCTTGTTAATTAGGATTTTGTTGTCCAAAATTTAGCTTTACTCCTTAGACTTTCATTGGGTGTATTCATTTTTGCAACATGGTCTTGAATGAATTTTTTTTTAGGAACAATACTTTGTATGTGCAAATTAACAAATCTTGTTTGCAATCAATGGCCTGCAATTGTGGGAGTATTTTACAGTATAAAGTCCCATAGAAAATGTTGATTCTGAAGGGAAAGTAAAGGTTTTCTGACAAATATGTTGGGGTGTACTCATTTATGCTGAGCACTGTATATCACTATTACCCCCATTTGGGACTTGAGCTTCTCCATTTTCCTTTGTATGTACAGAGCTAAAGAAGGTATTTAATAAATTAGCCTTCTCTTTGTCCCCAGCAATCAATTCAAAATTATCTACTAAAGGGTCTACATGCTCAGACCCAAGCTTTTTACTGTTAATATATTTTAAGAATTTTTTGGCATCTTGTTGCCTTAACCTCCATAACATTTCCAGAATATGCCCCTTCCTAACTAACTACACCACCAAGCTGCTAATCCACACATTGGTTATCTTTCACCTTGACTACTGTAACGCCCTCCTCATTGGCCTACCTCCACACACCCATTTAGTATACCATAAATGCTGCTGCCAGACTTATCTACCCCACCACTGCCTCCTCCCGCCATTCCCTTCCCTGACTTGTGATTACCAAACAAATAAATACGTCTTTCTCAACATCTCCACCAGATGCCTCCAGGACTTTTCCAGAGCCTGTCCCAACTTCCAGAACTCTCTAACCCAACATATACGGCAATACCCTACCTTGCTTGCCTTTAGGCAATCCTTGAAAAACCAATCTCTTCAGTGAAGCCTATTCCACCCCTACCAACAACTGCATTTTACTTAACCGAATAATACCTCCAACAATTATTGCTTTTTGTACCACTTTCCCTTGTATGTAAAAAAAAAAAAAAAAAAAAAAAATGTATTTTTTTGGATAACAAATCTTTTACTATTTTACCATTAAATGTACCAGTACCATTAAATGCACACCTGAGAAAAACGAATCTATAAAGCAGCGTGTACTTACAATAGCATTAAGTGTAAGAGGTTCTTGCATGGTTGAAGATACTGGTGTAAGGCTAGCATCCAGAGCCTTAACATACGCTCGGGCAGCATTAAGACGTAGGCGGTACAAATCCATTTGAAATACACGGTGCATAGCTGGTAGAAAAAAAGAAATATTGCTTTTATGTTTTCATTTATTCATACTTCCTTTTAGTCCGAGTTATGTTTGGCATACAAATGAACATCAGACTACCCAACATACTTTTGGGCTTTTGGGTTAACAAATCTGATATTTCACAGATTTGGCCATATACAATATGTTGGCAGTTGTGAAGGTAAAGAATATGACATTTTATCCTGTATGCCTACCATTTACAGGAAGAGTAACTGTTTCATGCTAATTTTGTTGTATGACTGGCACATGTATGCCTTTACATGATCTATTTACCTATCTGGGCATATTCGAGGCACAATCCGTAAATATATACAATTAGCAAATATATATTAAACAACTATTTTTAAAAGTGATGCTTTGCTAAAATACTTTAGTGTACATATACACTCAACATTGAAACATTCCTTCAACAGACAATGGAGTCCTCACAGGCCATATTTTATCACATTTGTTGAAACATTGTCTAAAGCTGGCCATACACTAGTAGAATTTCATTAGAATTTTTTTGTTTGAGAATGGTCGTTCAATTTTCTAATGGTTAGTGGGGACAAATCGAAGTTTGCTTTTGATCGTAGCTCTGAAAAAGTTTGCAGGAAATAAAATTTATTAGAATAAATACAGATATTGAATGAAACCAGTGTAATACCTCTGGGATTACATTAAAATAGCAGGTCTAGATTAAATTTTAAGGGCATTTGGTGAAATCAGTTGACTCAATGAAGGCAAGAAAGAATTTGAACGAAAATCTCACAGTGTATGGCCAGCATGAGCGCTTTACACATATAACCATAACTTATGGACAGAGGGTAGAATTTGTATACTTTTTCTTCCCAGTGGAAAACAATGTCAATAATTCACCTACCCACAGCATTCTCTCTCTCCCGCAGGGTCTGGTCTACATAAAGTTTGGTTTTCTTGGGGACATTAAGTTTGATGCTCTGTCCAATAGGGGGACCAGAAGATGTATCCTTTTCCTCAAACTGAGCAGTCCTTTTCAAGATCTTAATAATGAGTCCTCCTCCTGAGTGAAAAAAACAAGAAATTGTTGGAATAAGTGGCTAGTAATAGACATTTAAAGGATTTAAAGAAGAAAGCTCTGAAAGTTAAGAGAAAAAATTGCTCCTTAAAGTATTATAAACTTGTCAAAACCATGGGAAATTCAGGCTAAAAAAAAAATAAAACGCATAAAGGGGTTGTCTTCAGTGAAAACTGTGCATAAAAACAATTACAACTAGATGAGATCATGGCAGCTGAAATTATATGTAAAATTTAACTTTTCTAATAAAGTTAAGCTTGGATTACTCTGCACTATTCAAGTGTGCATTTTGGCTTTCCTTAAATGGACCTCACTAACCAATTTCAAGTTGGGGGGCACTGTGGAGCTAAGCCCAACATGAAATGCAACATGAAAAGTAAAGGATTTGCATATAACTTCAGCTTTCTTCTCTAGAAATCTTCCATTTTGACTTGCAGACTCACAGAACCTAATCTCTCTGCTTATGCAATTTTTATCCCAACTTCAGCTTTAACCACTGGGGCCAAGATATGCAGTATTTTAAAAGGGCAGTTAAAGCATACCCTCTATTCAGAAATATGATGTATTCCAGAGAGGACACAAATTCCAGCTAGCAGAAACATCTATGTTTGAAGACTTAAGCATTTCCATTCAACACAGAGGTAAGATCTTCCACATCTCGGAGGTTTAAAATTCCTGCAAACTATTGTATCAACACTGGAGTTTCTGACAGATGTCACAGTACTGGGAAAGAAATCCAAGGGGGCAGACATCGGTTCACTGGTCAACACAGATTGTTTTCTTGAAATGGAGGATTCAAGTTATTCTAGTTTCTATCAAAACTTGGAAATCTGAAATCGGTCAGGCCTGGGGGTAATTTTGAATTCCTGATAGTGGGGTATCAGGGTGAATCAGATGGTGAGATGTTGAGCGTATTAAGGAACTTTCAAAGGCCATTTACAGTATATCCTATGGAGGGGGTGGGGTGTGAGGTTGCAACACTATAGGCATATAGACATGTATCCTCAAAGCACTTTGAGAGCTTGTGAAAGGCAGCTGTGTGATATAGTGACAGTATGCCCAGGCCCCTGTCAGGTTTAGAGAGCCGGAGGATAGTTTGTTGCAGTCTAGCTGGCTTTCGTGACCAAATGAAAGACCAGAAGAGCCTTATGTTCCCACGAGAAGGGTGGAGTGCGGGTGCATGTAGCACCTGAAGAATATATCATATTTTGGGGAAAACAGTCATTTCATTTATGCTACAAAGCCCAACCAACGAGATCTAGATCTGCTCGAATACATTTCAAAAGTGTGTGTGTGGGGTCCCGATATAGAACGATGCCTAAATAGTTCATTGAAACAGAAATCCATTTAAAAGGAAAGTTCTCAATAAGGGATTTGCTCTGCAACTCCCTGAGCAAAACGTTAGGCACCTCAGATTTCTGGAAGTTTATTTTAAAACAGTGAGTGATTAGTAAAGTCATCAAATTCTTTCATGTCAATGGATGTGTGATATTAAAAGAGAAAAAAAGAAAAAAAAATAATCAACTACATATGCTGCAACCTGGTTTACCCCTCCAAGATTGACTCCTTTGAAATTAGTGTTTGCACTAATCTTTTATAGGAAAGGTTTGAGTGTGGGACATTTAATTTTTAAAATTACTTTTTGTTATAGTTGGAGATCTGTACTCTACCTTTTGTAGTCATGATTAAAGTGTCATCTTCTCTTCCGTATCTTCCAAAGCACAGGCTGGTCACTATGTCCTGAAGGAAATCAGAGCTTAATGAATGATATTATTGCAAGGTACAGCATAACGGTAACTGTTATATACAGTTTTTATAAAGAGAACGAAACCGAAACAATTCCAGGTGCTCACATTCCAAAGTACAAACTCAAAGAGGAGGCTCTTTCATCTCCAAACTGAGAAAATGTAAAGAACACCTTATATAGATCAATGGATGGATGCCGCTCAGACTGATCTCGGGAGTTCAGTGTATGTGGGATGGCCTCAGCTGCCACTCTGACTACGCCCACTGATGCGTTTCGCCCCAGCCACCGGGGGCTTGATCACAGAGCGGCAGCTGAGGCCATCTCACATACACTGAACTCCCAGAATCGGTCTGAGCAGCATCCATCCATTGAGCTTACCCAGTTTCTGGAACACTAGCGGATGCTGCTCCCATTTTCCTCTGTTAGCAGGGTGATTACTTTCTAGTGTTTCCTGGCTTGGAGCGATGCCATATATCTCCTACAACACCTTATTTAGCATGACTAGACTTTTTCTACCAGAAATATAACTTATACTTTACATTTGGAGACTAAAACAGGGCTTAGGTATAAAAGCAGGTAACCTTGTAAGCATAGTCCAACTGATTGGTTTTAAAGGAATCTATAGCAAATTTTCAGGGAGTACTAATTTAAAGTTACTACTATATAAAGTTTACTTGAAAGTATTTCTACTCCTAAGAGGCTGTAATTGCTGTCTGACTATGGTGAGGTCATTGAGATGTGAAGTGAAATCAGGGGTAAGACGCTAGCAGGGAGCCTTGATAATCCATATTCTACAGTCTTCCAAAGTACCAAAGTGCTCCCCAAAAGAAGAAATTCACCTCAACAATCATAAATCCTGTATACTGCTTGTGAGTGTTCTCAGATGATAAAAAGGGCTACAGCATGCCTGGTGATACTTGGTGCAACACTTCCCTGTTGAACCAGCTGAGATTCAATCCATCTATGGCTGGCACTAAGTTGATCATTGCTTTTGGCACAAAGTTACTTTATAAACCACACAGCATTTCTAAGTTACTAAAAAGTTCAAGAACAGAACAGTACAGATTGAACACATATACATGCGAGTTACCAGTGAGCCCATCGGGGTGTACAAAGTATGTGAAAAATGACCCATTAGTAAAATAAAAGGTTTCCATAGACTCACTGGGGTAGAAATAACACTCAGCAGATTCTTATCTCTATACAGGTGAACTTCCAGATTCTTCAGCCCCACCAACACAGCCTGAATACTGCGCGACTTCTGCTCCAGCAAAGACATTGTCATAATGGATGCAGGGAGGGTAACTGTCCACAGCCTCTTTCCCTGCCACGATATGATAAAATGTTACAGATGCATCTTGTAAATCTTTGGGTTTAAGGTTTTAAAACTGCATTGACAATTATAGCAAATGACATATCGAATACATTTATCTTGGCATGCTTACTTTTTGTGAGTATCCATGCAAAGTCTCCTGAGATGTTCCAATAATTATATTTTTCTGGACACGGAGCAATCCTACCACCTGTGCACTCAGTTCAATGCTGTATTTGGGACGCTTGGAGTCTCTATGAAAAGTCATCCAAACTGTGTTTTAGTTTCAGTAAATAATTTTGTGGTACTTAAAATTGATATAGATTTGCAAGTGACCCTCTGGTGGCTTTCCGTATGTCATATACAGTGCAATCAATGTTCTAACTGAAGAACTACTGCAAAAACACAAACAAAAGAGGGTGCATCAGCATAGTGCATTATCCTATGGGTACTATATTAAAAAATAAATTACATACAAACCATGCAAGTTTTTAGCATATCAAGCCTCCAGCTCGTGGCACAGTTGTTCATTTGAACCAGAGTGTTCCAATGCCAGAGAGACACCATCTGGGATCCAAACCAGCTTATGTATTTCCAGGGTAAGATGAGGCTTTGATGGAGAGGGTTTACCCTCAAAACATGTAAGCTGTTTTGGATCCCAGACGGCATCTCTCTGGCGTTGGAACACTCTGGGTCAGACGAATCATTGTGACACGAACTAGAGGCTTGATAAACTATTAACTTGCATGGTTTGGGAGTATGTATTTTATTGATTTCTTTTAACTGCTTCCCACCCAGCCACTGTACATAACAGGGCAGGTGGAACAAGCGCCATTCTAACAGGACATACCCGTACATCCTGTCAGATTCTAGGCTCACACACGGCTGTGCAATGGCGCTATCCAGTAATGGCTGTATCTCTTGGACACAGCACATCACAGATTGGGACATGGGTGCTGTGATTGGCACTCTCAATCTTGTGATGGCTGTGTCCAAATCACAGCCATCACACAATGTAAACAACACACAGCCACTCCACACCAGTGCACCAAGCACCATCTGTCCCATCAACATCTGTCAGTGTATCAGTGCACAAAAACATCTGTCACAGTGTCCCATCAACATCTGTCAGAGTGTCCCAGTGCACATCAACATCTGTCGGTATCCCTAGTGGACCGTCAACATCTGTCAGTGTACCAGATGTCCCATCAATATCTGTCACAGTGTACCAGTGCACAAAAACATCTGCAATAGTGCTCAAATGCAACATTTGTCACAATGTACCAGTGTCCCATCAACATCTGCAATAGTGTCCCATTGCAACATCTACATCTGTCAGTGTCCCTGTTGGACCTTTAACATCTGTCAGTGTCCCTAGCAGACCAAAACCATCTTACGGTGTCCCAGTGGACCAGCAACATCTGTGTGTCAGAAATATCTTAGAATCTGATAACTTTGTGCTAAAAAAATTGAAAACAAAAAAATGATGCCTCATAGAAAATACGTTGGGGTGTTTGCTTTCCAAAATGTTGTAATGTGTAGGTGTTTCCACTGTCCTCTCTATGTTGCTAGGCTGTGAAAAAGTCTCACATGTAGTATTGCCATACTCAGGAGGAGTAGCAGAATGTATTCTGGGGTGTATTAATTAGTATGTCCATCCTGTGTGTTAGAAATATCTTATAAATTGACAACTTTGAGTATAAAAAAAAAACAAAAAACAAACCAAACACATGCGTTTTCATTTTCTTTCAACATTTTCCAAAAACTTGTGGCAAAAAATGACATGTTCAAAGGACTCATTATGCCTCATAGAAAACACATTGGGGTGTTTGCTTTCCAAAATGTGGTCATTTTGTGGGTGTTTTCATTGTCCTGGTGCTTCAGGGCCTTCAAAAGTGTGATAGGTAGTCAGGATATTAGATGTGTAATTTATGCTCTGTGAAAGCCCAAAAGGTGCCTGGGCCCCTCTATGTGGTTAGGCTATGAAAAAAATCTCACACATGTGATATCCTCTTACTTGGGAGAAGTAGCAGAATGTGTTTTGGGGTGTAACTGCAAGTTTGCAAGATTACTGTGTGCGAGAATAAGTTGTTAAAATGAACCTCCATATAAAAAAGGCAGCCCTTATGTTAAACAGCCCTCATATAAAAATGAAAAACTAAAAAAAAAAAAAAAAAAAACTAAAAAAAATTCCAGTTTATAACGATCAGCAGAGGTTCATTTTATTCACATTTTGTTGATCAGATTCACATATATATCATAAGAAGGTAAAATATTCCTGCTGAAGAATCCATTAAGGTCCAAGCAATAACCAAAATACAAAAGAATAAACCTGCTGTATTACTAATTTGGTTCTTCATTATTCCCTAGAACAGGCAACAAACAAGTAGATGGTGCAGCACACATAAAGACATACCTAAAGGCTTCCTTACCTACGTAGAATGTAGACATTGCCATTACGGCAAGCTACTGTGACACGGTATTCAATGTCATACTGTCCATTCACATCCAGAAGAGTGGGTACACTGGGAAGACTGACCTGCCAACATAAACAGATATGAGTGGCAACTATCACAGTCTACACTTTAAGAAATCCATCTTCCTACAGCACCAGTATCTTTTGCCTTACTGGAATTATTTTTGCTTTCAGAATAGGTTTACATGGAGCACGTTTCTGACACCTGCTAATCACTAGTAATACTTCTACAGTCACAGCTTGTTAATGCAGATCCTTGAAAATAAAATAATACATGCTTTCCAAAGGTACTCACTCGAGTAAGAATAGTAAACGCCTCTGGATCCAGTATAAATATTTCTTCACTTTCTGTACCGATAACAAGACAGCACACAGCATCCTCATCTGCCATGTTCTTCTTCAGAGTTGCCATACATGTGATCACAGTCTACAGTATACAATCAAAAAGAGATGCTTACAAAAATATATTGTATATGGACTGTAATTATTAAAATAGTTTAGATTATATACAGTCATGGTCAAAAATATTGGTACCCGTGCATTTCTATCAGATAATGCACCCCTTTGCCCAGAAAACTGTTGCAATTACAAATGTTTAGGCATTCTCATGTTTATTTCTTTTGTTTGTATTGGTATGACACAAAAAAGTGGAGAAACTAAAAGCCAAGTCTTACACTTTCCATGCAAAACACCAAAAATGGACTTCAAACTTCTTGAAAATATTGCACACAGTGGACACAGGAACATTAAGATCTGTTAATTGATACAGGTGAGTTTAATTACAAAATTACAGGAGCATCACAAACTTGGAAAGCAATAACTTCTTAAACTTTTGAGAAGGTGCCAATAATTTCTTTTAGTCCATTTTGGGGTTTTGCATTGAATGTGTCAGATTTGGCTTTTTGTTTCTCCACTTTTATTGTCATACCAATACAAACAAAAGAAAAAAACATGACAATGCCAAAACATTTGTAATTGCAACAATTTTCTGGGTGAAGTGGTGAATTAATGTGACAGAAATGCCAATATTTTTGGCTATATATATATATATATATATATATATATATATATAAATAAATGGTATCTATCTTTTTCTATCTAACATATAGATAGAAACATCATAAATGATGTTCAAAAAAGACTAATACCCAAACTGAACTCATGACAGATATGAAAAATACCATTTAATCCAGTTATCAATTCATCAAAAATCATTACATACATTTCTGCACACGGCTAGCATAAATATCCCAATCTTCCTTTATATTAGGCATTCTTTTATGGCATATGAGGTGATCAGGACACTGGTATGGGGTATGGCGGTCATCAGAATGCTGGTATGGTGTATAGCGGTGATCAGGGTGCTGGTATGGCATTTGTCAGTGACCAGGGTGCTGGTATGGCATTTGTCAGTGACCAGGGAGCTGGTATGGCATATGGCAGTGATCAGGGCACTGGTATGGCATACGGCAGTGATCAGGACACTGGTATGGCATACGGCAGTGATCAGGACACTGGTATGGCATACGGCAGTGATCAGGACACTGGTATGGCATACGGCAGTGATCAGGACACTGGTGGTATGGCATACGGCAGTGATCAGGGCATTGTTGAATTGTGGTAATCAGGACGCTGGTATGGCAGTGATCAGGTCATTGTTATGGTGTATGGCGTGTTATTGTGAGCACCGTTAACACTGGGACAGGTGACAGAGGCTGGATGCATTGTTTACTATTACTACACTGGGGGCAGTGATCAGGGACACTGGGGCAGGGTGACACTGTAGTCTGAGTGTACATGCACTGTAACAAGCAGTGTACACTCACAGGCTGCAGCAATGGTTCTCCTCTCTGCTCTCACAGCCGATCCGTGTGAGAGTAGAGAATACCAATTTTTTTTACTTTCGGCTTAGTATGTTTACCAAGCGATTGCTGTGACTGGACACAGCAATCATATGATAAAACACCATGTGATCAACCTGACACAGCGGGAATGTGATCCACTATGTCCAGGGGGACAAACCGATCACTGGGCTACTGGGTGCACCCACTGTTTGCCACGTGATGTGGGAGGCTGTTCAGGAACGTCCACCCACACCAGCACGCATCCTGTCTGGATATTTATGTACATGAGGCGGACAGTAATCGATTAAAAGATGGAGGAAGGCATATACTATTAGGTTATACTGCCACTAACCTGAGGACTGTATACTGCTTAACTAAAATACTACCGGTATGCCTGTGGCAAAGCAGTACCAAGAGCATGCTTATAAACACAGAGGGGTGGGGCTTGCATCTCTCAATGGACCCCATGAAAAAGATTTTTACGGTAAGTACAAAAATCCAATTTTCTTTCTCACCCATTGAAAACACAGGAAGCCAAATACTGTACTGTTGGGATGTCCAAAATCTGAGAGTGAGAACAAAAGGTCAACAGGCCCACAAAAACGAACAGAACTGGGCACTGCCTGCAGTTAAAGAGCCATCTTGAGAAAGGCATACCCAAAACTGGCATCATATGAGGCCTGCACACATCCTCCTGGTAACCACAAGGCTGCCTGATGCCGAAGAGCCCAAGAGGCACACCTGCTCAGATACTTGCATCACAGGGGTTATGTCAATGAGAAACGCAACCATGTGGGCAACAGTAGAGCAAGGAATATCACTGATAGGTTCACAAAGATGTTTGTGAAGTGCCAAGAGAAGCAAATTCAGGTCCCACAAAATCACAGGGAAGCAAACAGAGGGAGCCATATGAGAGACTACCTGCACAAAAGGTCTTGATCAAGGAATGGGAAGCCAGTGGTCTCTGGAACAAGATCGCAAAAGCACTGATGGCACTGTCACTGGGCCAAACGCTGGTCTACACCTAGCAAAAAGTAGACTTCTTAATTTTTTAGCATTATGGGATCAACAAGATGCCTCAGTCCCTTAGAACCTGGGTTTCAGTCATGCCATTAAAGCTAGCGACCCAGAAGCAGGAGCATAAAAACTCGATCCGCGAGACAGATCTGGACAATCTGGAAGAACCCACAGAAAGTTCACCAGGAAACTTTTGGTTGAAGTACCACAAAAGAAGGGAAACCACAGCGCTCTGAGTGTAGTATGTAGTGATAATGGCCTGAGAAAGGAGCATGCAGCCTCTTCCTGACTTCTAGTTCCAGTGACGTCACCGCTGTCAGCGTCAGGATACCCTTGCTTGCCCGGAGCCTTAGGAGCGACTGTCCTAGGTCTGGGGAGACACCACCTTCAGCAATCCGGACAGGATTACCCTTAGAAGATGGCTCTATGCGATATGTGGTTTATACAGCTTCTCTTGTGAGTTGCCTTATTTTTTAATAAAATAGTTTTTTTTACCTACCTACTACACCCAGAAAGCACTGCTTTTTACCTTCTTTTTTGTCTACCACAGAGGAGCTTCTACTCTGACAGCTAGCTGTCTTCTTATCCTGAGTCCGTATGGGACAAAGTCAGATGGAAATACTAACTATAAGTACTGTGGACTATTAACCCTTTACTATATGTTTGTTTGGGACATTCAGTGATTTTAAATGTTTTCTCCCCAAGGGCCACTATTTCTGGTTGTAGTACCACACCTGCCTGGGCCAATCCAAAGCCAAGAGCTATCACCAGAATGCCCTCCAACTTGATCCTGTGAAGCATACAAGGAAGGGGTTTTCAGGGGAGGAAAAGCCCAGATCAGGGACTACTGATCCCACAGTTACCAGAGCATCCATTGCTTCCAGTTGAGGATCTCTGTATCTGATGGCAAACCTTCCCAGTTTTCTGTTGAACCTGTAAGCCAGGAGGTCCACATCTAACATCCCCCACCCATGACAGGTTCTGGAGCACAACCAGGTGTGGGAAGCACTCTCCCAGGTCCAGGGGATGTTGGCTGAGGAAGTCTGCCAGCCAATTGTTCAAGCCTAGGATGTAAACTGCAGACAAGGCTGGAAAGCGAATTTCTGCCAAGGAAAGGATCTGCTCTAAACTTCTTTCTACAGTGAGAATTCTGTTTCCTCCCTGATTGATGATGTATGCCACTGCCATGACACTGTCAAAAAGTATACAGATTGCATAACTCATCAGCCAGGAAGTTCAGCCTGGCAGGAATAATCAAATTGCCGAAGTTTAAGAATGTTGATCAGGAGACAAGATTCCTACAACATCCAAGTTCTCTGCACTGATAGGGTGCCAAGGATTTCTCCCCAGCCTGACAGGCTGGTATTCATTGAGTGGATCTTACAGAAAACAGAAAGAAAGGACTTCACCAGCTGCAGAGCCAGATTCCTAAGCCACGGACAACCGAACCCTCAGTGCCAGAAGAACTGGTCTGTCCAAGGACTGGACTGATTTGACCCAGGAAGACATAATGTTGTGCTGTAGGGGTCTTAAGTGAATATGGAAAATGGGACTGCCTTGGAGCAAGCCATCAGACTGTTAGCCCCAGAACACTCATGGAAAAGAGAAGAGAGCTGGGCAACTCTTGGGCTTAAGAGTAGCAGTCTAGGAGTGGAGAGTTTAAAGTTTCTCCTAGGGAAGAAAAAAAGCTCTTGCTTTAGCGGTATCTAGGACTAGTCCAAGATATTCCAAGTAAGAACTCTATTCAATTGCCGATTTCTGGTGGTTCAGGATCAATCCAAACCTCTGCAAGGACTGGAGGGTTATGGCAAGATTGTCCACCAGGACTCATGCTAAAGATTCCCTAGCAGGAGGTCATCTAGATGTCCCACAGTGGTAATGCCCTGAGATGGGATACAGTTGGACTCACAGAGGGGGCAGAACACGTTTTTAACAAAGTCTTATGCTGGCCTATAATTTTGGATTGTCAGAGTCTAATAGTCCTGTAGGAGGCAATGTAACCCGACAGTATACAGCTTCATGTGTCCCTTAATGGAAAAAAAGAAACATTTACCACAGGAAGGTACATTTTAAATGAAAAGGCAATACATATTTTTTTCAGTTTCATACAATGAGGAAAGACCATCCAACTGTTAAAGACTGCAGTGCTATCCTGATCTTGCTGGATTGGGTAACTAAAGTTTATGGGTGGATGCTGACAGCTGTCCATTGTAAGAGGAAAGCAAATCGAGGGGGGGGGGGGGGGGGGGGGGGAACACAACAAAAACAAACAAACAAAAGAAACGTCTGTCCTTATCAGATTGTCCCTTCCTGAAAATACAGCTCGTTTCTCTCTCTGCTCTTATCCCTACAAAAAATATAAATGTTTATCTACAAAATATTGACTTGGTTCCATTCATGAAAATGTTAAATCCATTGCAGAACCACTGAACCTGCAGATATTAAAGCCATTAGGAACAATGCAAATGACTAAACTCGTCACCAAACCTTTATTCTGATGGCAAGGGATTAAACTTACCTGTTACAGTCACACATTCATAAATCAGATTGCCAAGTCACACATTCAAAATTCAGATTGCTGAATAGTTAATCAAAGCTATTGAAACTGCAGATTTTTAAAATTTGGCATCTAATGCAAGTTTATTTAAAATTAAACTCTGAGGCCTATGCATGTGTGTTTACTGCCTATGTATGTTCACTGCCTCACTTTCTGTTGCTTGTCAGCGCTACCAAAGAATACTTTCTCAATAATGCATCAAGCAAGCAAAAAAAAAAAAAGTTCCCATGTGCCCATTTTGTTGTGTCATCAAAATGACAAGATGGTTACCTGTCGTTTCAGAGGTAACTGTTTATATGTATTTACAAAGGCCTCCATTTCTTGAGGATCAAGCATCAGGAACCTGCAGAAAAGTAGAGAGCCAGATGGTCATTGTGGGGTAAGGTGCTCAGCCTGCAGCTGACTGGATTATAGCTATTAAGAAAAGCAGATACGATTATAATGTTGAGGATTTTTTAAATAGACATCTGAATTATACATACCGGAGTGATCTCACTGAAAGAGGAATCTCTGCTTTATCCCTGCACAAAGAAACAAAAATCACACAGTGCTACATTTGGGAATACTGCATAACATTTAATATAAGCAGAACTCAATGTTAAGCAGCAGTGTTAAATTCAAACAAAAGGATGTATAAAAAAGTGAGACAAAAAAATATTAAAAAATGAATAAATGACTGCATCATCCTCACAAGTCCTCTCTTTCAGTAAAGAATGGCACCACATAAAGACATTGGGCCCATCTCTACAACATACCGGTACTTCCACAAGACAGGGGCCCTTTATTGATGCATGCAAAGGGAGCCCTGACTTACAAGTGGGCTGAATGACCCCTAGAAGAGGGTGAGTATTTCAGCGAGAGCACATACAATAATGGAATCTGAAAAGTGATTAGGTTTTCTTAAATTTAAAAATATCCTCAATTAGGTTTGTTGAGTGATAAAAAGTTGCCCCTTGTGAAGTCAGGAAGATTTCTCTCCCCCTGTGAAATAAAACAGATCACAATGAACTAAATATTTTGTTCTGCCCTCAGCATCATCTTTTTTCAAAGTGATCAATCTAAGCGCTCACACCTGTATAAAACCCCCCCCCCAAAAAAAAAAAAAAAAATCAGATATACTAGAAAATGGGTTTATCTTCTACTTGTGCTAATAAGATAAAATGCACTCCCGTCAGTGTATTGGATTAGCGGTTGTAACAAACTGGAATAGATGCAAAGTTGCAATGCTAAAACTGCTGTGTTTCCATTTTATTGTTTTGCAAAAGAGCCGCAAACCTCCCTCAGCTCAGGCTGTCGGTATCTCCCTATTTGGAGCACCCTATAATATTACCACATGCTAAAATGTTTATACTAAAAAGGCCATTCCAGCCATAAGTGGGGTCTGGTATGCGGATTCACACACTGGCTTCTTACATCTCTTCCAGCAGTGAGAACTCCTGCCATAGTATGCTGCATTACGAGCCTATGTACCTGAACGTATAGGGTCCTAAAACGCAAATACCACTAGGTACAGTGTTCAACCTTGTACAACTGCAGTGTATTTCAGCCTGCCATAGACTGACAGCCTGCAGGCAGCTGGGCTAAAGGCTAGGAGCATTACAGTTCTCATTATCTTTTGTATTTTCCATTTTACAGAATAAAAAAAAAAAGTCCAACAGGGTGATTAAATTACAAAAATGTTTAGAAGGCGTGAATACAGGGAGTTTGTAAATCCAATGCAGACAGACTCTTGTATTCTTGTGTACTCAGTGTCTGACTGACAGCCTAAACTGGGGGAGCTTTGCTGCCTAAAAGGGTTACAGTTTCTGATAAATTCAAGAGAGCCAGAGAAACTGGACTGGAAAATCCACAGATGAATACATGATCCCTATGTTGAAAGGGCAAGCACTGCTGCTCCAGCCCTGCTCCATATATACTGGAGACCACAGTGGATTATCAAATGCTGAACGGGAAACGGCAGCTTTCAGTACTGCAACTTAGGAACTATTCCAATTTGCTACAACGGCTGATCCAAATACTGCGACAGCTGAAGGTATGAATCTCCTTATATTTGTTTGCAAATTTATTTCTTCGGAATCTTGGTGGTATCATTACTTTGAAGAGTGAAGCAGCCATCTTTTATATAGAGTGGAGTTCTACACAAAGCTCCACTAAGTAAACCCATTTTTGTCTCCTAATTGGCTGAGGAGTGTGGCAGAATTAAGTGACTGACAAAACTGGCTGGACAAAATTTAAAAAAATATTTTGCCAATAAAAATAGCTCATACATATATTTTCTTTACATGTTACTGGACAAAAATCTGACATAAATGCTGGCAAACACTTTCACGTAAACTATGTGTCTAAAAATAGGATCTAGCAGTCTCAGACCCCAATTCATACCTGATTCCCTCAAGCATCTCTTTTAAAGTCAATGGATCTATTCTGTCCTAAATTAGAGATGAAAAAAAAGAGTAATATTAATTTTTTGTACAAATAATATTTAAACAACATATTATGATATCAGAAAGTACTATTTATATGTTATCCTGTTTAGAAGAGCACATTTATAAACAGTGAACCTGACATTCACAAGTGTATCTTCCAGGTGCATGTATTTTTAGAATGGTGATTGATTCACCATTAGTGAATGTTTGCAGCAAAATCACATTCACTACTTTATAAATATACTCCTCATGGTAGAACTATCAATTAAAATGTGTATGAGTCACAATAGCACATATAAGAATTAGCATGTCACATTATTTCAAGTAAAATGTACCTATTTGTCCTGGATAAAAAGCGGCTTCCCCTGGATTACCAAGAACAAAAATTAGCATTGTGCGCGATTCACATCATTATAAAACTGTTTGGAGTTTTTACCCAGACAGACCCCTTATGTGTAGGTTTATGAAATAAAAGCATCAGCATTATACTGTCAAGGAGCCAAGCTTTGTATGTTAACAGAAAACATGGCCAACCACCTATATACAGTGGGGATCGAAAGTTTGGGCACCCCAGATAAAAATTTGTATTAATGTGCATAAAGAAGCCAAGGAAAGATGGAAACATCTCCAAAAGGCATCAAATTACAGATTAGACATTCTTATAATATGTCAACAAAAGTTAGATTTTATTTCCATCATTTACACTTTCAAAATAACAGAAAACAAAAAAATGGCGTCTGCAAAAGTTTGGGCACCCTGCAGAATTTATAGCATGCACTGCCCCCTTTGCCAAGCTGAGACCTGCCAGTGTCATGGATTGTTCTCAATCATCGTCTGGGAAGACCAGGTGATGTCAATCTCAAAGGTTTTAAATGCCCAGACTCATCTGACCTTGCCCCAACAATCAGCACCATGGGTTCTTCTAAGCAGTTGTCTAGAAAACTGAAACTGAAAATAGTTGACGCTCACAAAGCTGGAGAAGGCTATAAGAAGATAGCAAAGCGTTTTCAGATGTCAATATCCTCTGTTCGGAATGTAATTAAGAAATGGCAGTCATCAGGAACAGTGGAAGTTAAAGCAAGATCTGGAAGACCAAGAAAAATATCAGACAAAACAGCTCGCAGGATTGTGAGAAAAAAAATTCAAAACCCACGTTTGACTGCACGATCCCTCCAGAAAGATCTGGCAGACACTGGAGTTGTGGTACACTATTCCACTATAAAGAGATACTTGTACAAATATGGTCTTCATGGAAGAGTCATCAGAAGAAAACCTCTTCTACGTCCTCACCACAAAAATCATCGTTTGAACTTTGCAAATGAACATATAGACAAGCCTGATGCATTTTGGAAACAAGTTCTGTGGACCGATGAGGTTAAAATTGAACTTTTTGGCCGGAATGAGCAAAGGTACGTTTGGAGAAGAAGGGGCACAGAATTGAATGAAAAGAACCTCTGTCCAACTGTTAAGCATGGGGTTGGATCAATCATGCTTTGGGGTTGTGTTGCAGCCAGTGGCACAGGGAACATCTCACGAGTAGAAGGAAAAATGGATTCAATAAAATTTCAGCAAATTTTGGATGATGCCATCTGTGAAAAAGCTGAAGTCAAAGAGAGGATGGCTTCTACAAATGGATAATGATCCTAAACACACCTCAAAATCCACGGGGGATTACATCAAGAGGCGTAAACTGAAGGTTTTGCCATGGCTTTCACAATCTCCTGACCTCAACATAATTGAAAATCTATGGATAGACCTTAAAAGAGCAGTGCATGACAGACAGCCCAGAAATCTCAAAGAACTGGAAGACTTTTGTAAGGAAGAATGGGCAAAGATACCTCAAACAAGAACTGAAAGACTCTTGGCTGGCTACAAAAAGTGTTTACAAGCTGTGATACTTGCCAAAGGGGGCAGTACAAGATATTAACTCTGCAGGGTGCCCAAACTTTTGCAGACGCCATTTTTTTGTTTTCTTTTATTTTGAAAGTGTAAATGATGGAAATAAAATCTAACTTTTGTTGACATATTATAAGAATGTCTAATCTGTAATTTGATGCCTTTTGGAGATTTTTCCATCTTTCCTTGGCTTCTTTATGCACATTAATACAAATTTTTATCTGGGGTGCCCAAACTTTCGATCCCCACTGTATAGCTGGACATTATACAAAGGAAGAAGACTTTAAAATGTTACCACATGCCATCTTTATATTAAAAAGTGGTTGTAAATGCTGAAGGTTTTTACCTCCACGCATTCTATGCAGGACCGTCTTTAACGCAGGGCAAAAGGGGCAGCTGCCCTGGGACCTGTCATTGTTGTGGGGCCCAAAACAGCTGCCACTTCAGCCCGCACTGCCCTAGAACGTCTGGATCAGGGATGGGTGTGGGTAAAATTCCGGCACCATGCTACAGAGAGCGCATGTGGTGTGTTAAGCTGCCAAGGTGGAGGACAGCCTGATGCTCTGCTCTGCCTGTCCTGCATTTCCTACCTTGTCCTGTGGGTGGAGAAGGTGGTAGCACTCCTGAAGAACAGAGCTCCAACTGAGAGCTTTTCCAGCCATGTGGAGGTGGGTCTGAAGAACTCTGTGGTATGGGTGGCCAGCTGCAAGGTAAGAACTGTGGCAACTTCCTTATTTTACTGAAAGTGCTTTATCTCCCCTCTCTCAGCCTTGCAAAATATATCATGTGATGTTCTGCAGGGCTGGGAGAGGGGAGGCAGGGGTGGGAGGACGGAGACAGGCATGATTGCTCTGCAGAGCTAGAGACAGGTGTGATGTTCTGCAGGGCTAGGCGAGAGAAGACAGGTGTGATGTTCTGCAGGGCTAGAGACAGGTGTGATGCTCTGCAGGGTTGGGAGAGGGAAGAAAGGTGTGATGCTCTGCAGGGCTGGGAGACAGGTGTGATGTTCTGCAGGGCTGGAGACAGGTGAAATGTTCTGCAGGGCAGGAAGAGGAGAGACAGGTGTGATGTTCAGCAGGGCTGGGAGAAGGGATACAAGTGTGATGTTCTGCAGGACAAGGAGAGGGGAGACAGGTGTGCTGTTCTGCAGGGCTGGAGACAGGTGTGCTGTTCTGCAGGGCTGGAGACAGGTGTGATGTTCTGCAGGGCTGGAGACAGGTGTGATGTTCTGCAGGGCTGGAGACAGGTGTGATGTTCTGCAGGGCTGGAGACAGGTGTGATGTTCTGCAGGGCTGGAGACAGGTGTGATGTTCTGCAGGGCTGGAGACAGGTGAAATGTTCTGCAGGGCAGGAAGAGGAGAGACAGGTGTGATGTTCAGCAGGGCTGGGAGAAGAGATACAAGTGTGATGTTCTGCAGGACAAGGAGAGGGGAGACAGGTGTGCTGTTCTGCAGGGCTGGAGACAGGTGTGCTGTTCTGCAGGGCTGGAGACAGGTGTGATGTTCTGCAGGGCTGGAGACAGGTGTGATGTTCTGCAGGGCTGGAGACAGGTGTGATGTTCTGCAGGGCTGGAGACAGGTGTGATGTTCTGCAGGGCTGGAGACAGGTGTGATGTTCTGCAGGGCTGGAGACAGGTGAAATGTTCTGCAGGGCAGGAAGAGGAGAGACAGGTGTGATGTTCAGCAGGGCTGGGAGAAGGGATACAAGTGTGATGTTCTGCAGGACAAGGAGAGGGGAGACAGGTGTGCTGTTCTGCAGGGCTGGAGACAGGTGTGCTGTTCTGCAGGGCTGGAGACAGGTGTGATGTTCTGCAGGGCTGTAGACAGGTGTGATGTTCTGCAGGGCTGGAGACAGGTGTGATGTTCTGCACGGCTGGAGACAGGTGTGATGTTCTTCACGGCTGGAGACAGGTGTGATGTTTTGCAGGGCTGGAGACAGGTGTGATGTTCTGCAGGGCTGGAGACAGGTGTGATGTTCTGCAGGGCTGGAGGCAGCTGTAATGTTCTGCAGGGCTGGAGGCAGCTGTGATGTTCTGCAGGGCTGGAGACAGCTGTGATGTTCTGCAGGGCTGGAGACAGGTGTGATGTCGTCTTTTAATTCTCAATGAACTACTATGGTGCTGTTGAGCACTCTGGTAGTTCATTGAAGCTTCCTGTCAGTGTCAAACTGCCTGCTCATACATCGTACAGCATACACTGATAGTCTGCAGGAGACCTGCATGAGAACAGGCGATCAGCTGGTGCAATGCTTTCCAGGTTTCAAAAAACAAAAACAGTAAATGCAAGTCTTTTTACCTGCCAAAAAATGGGCATTTATTATTTTTTGTTAAAAAGTGAAGTTATCATTTACCCCCCCCCCCCCCCAATGTTTGCAGGGGAGCAATATGTATGGGGCAGTGTTTACACAGAGGTGGAAATGTACAGTCAGGTCCATAAATATTGGGACATCGACACAATTCTAACATTTTTGGCTCTATACACCACCACAATGGATTTGAAATGAAACAAACAAGATGTGCTTTAACTGCAGACTGTCAGCTTTAATTTGAGGGTATTTACATCCAAATCAGGTGAACGGTGTAGGAATTACAACAGTTTGCATATGTGCCTCCCACTTATTAAGGAACCAAAAGTAATGGGACAGAATAATAATCATAAATCAAACTTTCACTTTTTAATACTTGGTTGCAAATCCTTTGCAGTCAATTACAGCCTGAAGTCTGGAATGCATAGACATCACCAGACGCAGGGTTTCATCCCTGGTGATGCTCTGCCAGGCCTCTACTGCAACTGTCTTCAGTTCCTGCTTGTTCTTGGGGCATTTTCCCTTCAGTTTTGTCTTCAGCAAGTGAAATGCATGCTCAATCGGATTCAGGTCAGGTGATTGACTTGGCCATTGCATAACATTCCACTTCTTTCCCTTAAAAAACTCTTTGGTTGCTTTTGCAGTCTGCTTTGGGTCATTGTCCATCTGCACTGTGAAGCGGAGTCCAATGCGTTCTGAAGCATTTGGCTGAATATGAGCAGATAATATTGCCCGAAACACTTCAGAATTCATCCGGCTGCTTTTGTCAGCAGTCACATCATCAATAAATACAAGAGAACCAGTTCCATTGGCAGCCATACATGCCCACACCATGACACTACCACCACCATGCTTCACTGATGAGGTGGTATGCTTAGGATCATGAGCAGTTCCTTTCCTTCTCCATACTCTCTCTTCCCATCACTCTGGTACAAGTTGATCTTGGTCTCATCTGTCCATAGGATGTTGTTCCAGAACTTTGAAGGCTTTTTTAGATGTCGTTTGGCAAACTCTAATCTGGCCTTCCTGTTTTTGAGGCTCACCAATGGTTTACATCTTGTGGTGAACCCTCTGTATTCACTCTGGTGAAGTCTTCTCTTGATTGTTGACTTTGACACACATACACCTACCTTCTGGAGAGTGTTCTTGATCTGGCCAACTGTTGTGAAGGGTGTTTTCTTCACCAGGGAAAGAATTCTTCGGTCATCCACCACTGTTGTTTTCCGTGGTCTTCTGGGTCTTTTGGTGTTGCTGAGCTCACCGATGCGTTCCTTCTTTTTAAGAATGTTCCAAACAGTTGTTTTGGCCACGCCTAATGTTTTTGCTATCTCTCTGATGGGTTTGTTTTGTTTTTTCAGCCTAATGATGGCTTGCTTCACTGATAGTGTCAGCTCTTTGGATCTCATCTTGAGAGTTGACAGCAACAGATTCCAAATGCAAATAGCACACTTGAAATGAACTCTGGACCTTTTATCTGCTCATTGTAATTGGGATAATGAGGAAATAACACACACCTGGCCATGGAACGGCTGAGAAACCAATTGTCCCATTACTTTTGGTCCCTTAATAAGTGGGAGGCACATATGCAAACTGTTGTAATTCCTACACCGTTCACCTGATTTGGATGTAAATACCCTCAAATTAAAGCTGACAGTCTGCAGTTAAATCACATCTTGTTCGTTTCATTTCAAATCCATTGTGGTGGTGTATAGAGCCAAAAATGTTAGAATTGTGTTGATGTCCCAATATTTATGGACATTGCACCCTATCTACCGGTGGGAGATAGGGTGCAATGTGTGCAGAGGACTGGGGTGGGGGGATTTTTTGCAGAGGAGAGCAATGTGGGCAGGGGCCAATGTTTTACAGAGGAAAAGGGGGGCAGTGTGCAGAGAATGCGCAGTGTGTAGGGAAGGACAGTGTGCAGTGGAAAGGGGGACTGTGTGTATAGTTGGTGAATTTAATTTGGGCTAAATCTCAGGTTTCTTCATTGTTGCTACTCAGAATCTACGTTGTATTAAGTGACACCCAATATTCATTTTAATCCAAACATGCCCGAGAGAACAGTGAGGTGGGGGGCAGCAAAATGCACCTTTGCCTGTGTAGACAAAAATCATTGCACTGGCCCTGCCTCTAGCAACCAGTCAGTGAATGTTAGTGATCTGCTGTAACCTCTAACAACCAATCAGTAAACAACAATGATCTGCTGTAATCTCTAGCAACCAATCAGTGAACAATAATGTACTGTAACATCTAGCAACCAATCAGTGAGTGGCAACGATGTGCTGTAACCTCTAGCAGCCAATGAGTGACTGATATTGATAAGCAGTAACATCTAGCAACCAATGGGTGAGCAGTAATGCCGTGCAGTAATGTCTAGCAACCAATCAGTGAGCAGTAAGGATATGCTGTAATCATTGAGTGTGGACCAGTTCCTTATATTTAAAATTATTAAAGTTTTTGAGACAAGTCTATGTGTGTGTATGTTTGTTTTTTTGGGATGTTGGGGTGGAGAGCAAAATTGCATGGGGGGGGGGGGGCAAGAATATGTTTGCACAGGGTCCAATCAATATTAAAGACAGCCCTGAATCTATGAATGTAAAAAAACCTTCTGTGTGTAGCTTCCTCCCTCTACATAGCTCACAGGAACAGAGCTGAGGCTGCCAATCTGCTGGGAGTCCCATCCCTGTCACCATTTCTCTTGGGTGTCAGGAAAACTTGTCAGAAGTGATTCATGCAGACAGCAGAGTAACAAAGCAGCAAATAGAAATGACACTTCGTGCTCTTAACTGAGACATTTCCCATAGAGGGATATGCTTTGTTCATATTTCATGCATGAGGTTTACAACCACTTTAAATCTCTTGGGGATTTCAGCGGTGAGAACTGCCACTGTCCCTGGCCATGTGTGTTAACCACCTTGAAGTTTTTCGTATCCATCCACCCTAGGGTGTTCTCATTCTTCCTCTTGCATTCTCCGTTTACCACTTGACCTCCTAAAAGATTTTGCCCCTTTATCAGCAGGGCATTTTTTGCCAATTTTAACTGGTATTTGCGCAGTCATGCAACACTATATGCAAATGAAATTTAAAATATTTTTTTCACACAAATAGAGCTTTTATATATATTATATAAAATAAAAAAGACAGAGGAAAAAAATAAACAAAAAAAAACACAGCAATATTTTCTAATTTCTGTTATTTTGGCCAAAAATGTATTCTGCTACGTCTTTGGTGTAAAAAAAAAAAATCCCAAAAAGTGTATATTAATTGGTTTCTACGAAAGTTATATAATCTACAAACAATGGTGTACATATACACATACCAGAATTTACAAAGCTATGACATTATACTGGTAATGGCAGTGATCAGTGACTTATAGTGGGACTGTGATTGTGTGGCGGGCAATCTGGCACTAGCTGACACTGGTTGGGAGGTACACTAATGGGCATCAATAGTGACACCAATACAGTCATCAGTGCTAATACTGTTCACTGTCACTGTACTAATGACACTGTATAGAAAGGAGATAACATCTAGGGGCAATCAATGGGTTAATTATGTGCCCAACAATGTGTAATGTGTGTCATACATACGGTTACTGTTGTTGATCCCTGTACACAGAATTCTGGGTTTTGTAAAACGCAGAACTGTGTGTGTGACTGAACACAGCAGATCAGCGGACGTCAGCCAAAATCATTGGCTGAAGTCAGCTGCCAAACTTATGCTGTGTCAAAACACAGCACGGGTCAGCAGGGGGCACACATGTGCATGCCCCAAACCCGGAAGAAGGTATACACACACACACACACACACACACACACACACACACACGCACACACGACTGTGCCTTCCCATGCTGCCCCGACCCAGTAAATGTAATGTGGTGGGGCAGCAAGTGGTTACAAAGAAAAAAAGTGCCAACAGGTACAATTTAGCTTGAATTCCTAGAACCAATGAACACTGGGAGAGAGTGGAAATCCAATACAGAGATTTGTATAATCTACAATCCTTGAGCAGCCACTGGATTAACCCACACAGGAAGACATACTGGAAAATACAGAAGCAAAACAGGTTGCTTCTAAGAGTACCACCAAAATTTATAAATCAGTATACGTATGGTACTCGCCTCTTCAAGTGGCTGGGAAAAACACAATATTGTGTATCATGGAAATCTAGCTTTAGTTATAGTCATTTTCCACATAGGGATTTCATGCTCCATTAGAAGAAACCTGCAATCACTCTTGAATAAAAGGAACATTACATCAGTGTGCATCAAAATTCAACAATAGGAACGTACTCATATGACGGACTTTGGCTGAAATGCCAGGTATGATCTACGTCGGCTATAGCACTAGTTTCTTGTACATCCACAGGGTTCTTTACAGGTACTCTTAGAAACACCCCCTTTTTCTTTTATTTCTTTCCAACAAGGAGAGTAGCACATTGTTTTCATGCCTACGATAATATCAAAGCCATACACAGTGCCTGAGAGATATAGGAATCTGTTTTGTGGTTTACCTCCTCAGGATCTATCAATCAGTCCTTATGTAGTATTTATAGCCCACCTTTAGGCACAATCTTTTGCATACAATTTCAGACCTTTTAGCCCTTTACTAATAAAGTGCCTTTAATTCAGTGTAGTCTAACAGACGGCTCTAGCGGTTGTTAAAATATCTGGTGTCTGTATTTGACAGGATGCAGACACTGTTCAGCCAACCATTTTCCGCACGGCTTCTTTGGCATAAGTGAAATATTCAATCGACTTATAAAGCCCGGTGGTGCCGAAAAGTACACCCATGGCTCAAATTCATTCGCTGTCCAGTGTGAGCAATGTTATTCTTTTTATTTTACAAAACTTTACCCAGGCTGACAGACTTGAAGGATGCAGCTTGTTTGGTACAAAACTAGAATTCTGGCTATACTTTTCCTATTTCATGAAATAAAACTTAACCTAAAACACTAACTTAATTTGCCCATGTTCCCTGCTGCACATAAGGTACATACAAAGAGCCATGTAACAACTACATGTAAGCAGCTTCAGGCTCCCTTCAGCTGTTGGACAAATAGTTGCTGTCTTTCAGCCCATTCTTGTTTCATCTTACCTCTTTAGCTTGATCCCAGACTTCCTTCTCCAGGGCATTGACTTCCAGTGCTGGCAGGGTAAACTTAAAGTAGGGTCTCAAATTCTTGTATACATATATGAAAGGTCCAGAAGCCACGGCCACAGCTGGTGTTCGTGGCTCATTCTGATCCATCAGGAAAGCCACAACGCCAGTTGGCATGTCAAGCAAGGCATTTTCTGACAACAAACTTGTGCCTTTATACACTTTCAGCTTCATGTTATAGGGCCCGCTGCCCAGGTCACCCACCACCATCTGCCACAGAAAGTAGTAACGGTTATTTATGTAATTAAAATATATCGATACAAGAGATTATCTACTTATAGTGAACAAGTATTACCTTATACTCGCCATCCCCATGTAAATCAGCAAGAGCTTCATGGAGAAAAACAGAAAATATGTAATGTAAGTGGTTTATTTAAGAAAAAATGTTAGTTTGCCAACTCACTGCTAAAAAAGTATGAGGGCCTTCAAAATGCCTAATTGTACCTGGAGCAAAATTTTGGGGAGGATGTTAATTTTTATATGGTTGAACTTCAATACAGGGCAGTTTAACCCTCTTCCTGCCCAGGCCAAATTTTCAGCTTTCAGCACAGTCGCACTTTGAATGACAATTGCAACACTGTACCCAAACTAAATTTTTTAATTTTGTTCACACAAATAGAGCTATTTGATCACCACTGGGTTTTTTATTTTTTGCTAAATTAAAAGGGAAAAAAAATGATTTTTTTTTTTTTTTTTTTTTTTTTTTTACATACTTACCTGTAAAATCCATTTCTTGGAGTACATCAGGGGACACAGAGCAGGCAATAATAATTATTATGTGGGCTGCATGTCACCTATAGGTGAATGGACACTGGCTGACCAATCAAACATATCACCCTTCCTACACAGGAAGTACTTTTTGTAGCAAGCAATGAAAATCCAGAAAGGGGAGGGACCTCTATGTCTCGTGATGTACTCAATTTATGAAAACATCCAATTTTATTTATTGTACATCACAGGACACAGAGCAGACAATAATAATGACTATGTGGGATGTCCCAAAGCAATAACCTTGAGGGGTGGGTAACATCACAATAAATCTCCCACCAACATCCCAAAAGGAGATATTCAGCTGTTCATAAAATATTGCGACCAAAGGCAGAATTCTCCATGGCCCTGAAATCCCCTTGGTAATACCTTGTGAATGTATGAACCGAAGACCATGTAACATCCTTGCAAACCTGAGCAACTGACGCCTGGTGGTGGTTAGCCCAAGATGCCCCCACACTCCTGGTAGTGTGTGCTTTTACCTGAAAGGGTGGAACCTTGCTTTTCAAATCATAGGCTTGAATGATTAACTGACTAATCCACTTAGAAATAGTGGATTTGGATGCCGCCTGTTTTCTCCTGGGTCCTTCTGGCAATACAAATGGTTCCCTACAAGAAAGAGCTGCCAACTCCGATGCCCTTCTTGAAGAGGTGATTGCCACCAAAAACAGAAACTTTCGAGTTAGCAAAACTAACAGAATTTCCCTGATGGTTTCAAATGGTGGTTTCTGTAAAACTGCCAAGTTCCAAGGACACAGGGGCGGTCTGACAGGAGGAACAGCACACCTGACCCTTAATAGTACCAACAGCCAACTTATTTTCTACTCCCGATTGGTGAAAAGACAAAATTCTCCCAATCAAATATTTCCAGGTGTGCCATTTTCGATCTTCAAACCAGGAAATATAGGCCTTCCAAGTTCTATAATAATTGTTCCTAGAAACTAGCTTCCTAGCGTTCAACATTATGTAGATAATCAAGCCTAACAATCCCCTATCTTTCAAGATTTGGGTCTCAACAGCCATGCTATCAAATTCAGAGACAGTAAAGCTGGGTGCAATAGAAGTCCCTGAGACAGCAGGTCTGGCCAATCTGGCAGAGGCAATGGATTGCCCAATGCTAGCCTGACAATGTCCACGTACCAAGACCTGGACCAGGCTGGTGCCACTAATATCACCTCGATTTGAATCCTGCGTAATAGCCGCGGAATTAGCTGAATCAGAGGGTGGGGAAGACAGACAAGGGCAAACTGATCCCACTGGATCACCAAGGCATCTACCCCTATCGTAAGAGGGTCCCGGTTCCTGGACACAAACCTGTCCACATTGCTGTTGAACCTAGACGCCAATAAATCTACGTATAGGCACCCTCAATGCTGACAGATTGCCAAGAAAACTTCAGGATGCAGAGCCTATTCCCCCAGAAACAACCGCCGATGAATGAGGAAGAAGCCTACCAATTCTCTATCCTTGGAATGAATACTGCTGACAGAACTGGAACACGACCTTCTGCCCAAGCCAGAATGTGACTTACCTCCTCCTGAGTCCTCCGGCTTTTGGTATCGCCTTGGTGGTTAATGTGTGCCACTGCTGTAGCATTGTTGGACTGGACCCTAACTGGCCAACCATGAAGCCTGGTCGTCCAGTATCTCAGGGCAAGCCGCACCGTCCAAAGCTATCTAAAGATATTTATGGAAAGAATCTTTTTCTGTGGCTACCACATCCCCTGGACTGTGGTCATTTCTAGAACAGCCCCCCAAGCCGAGAGGCTGACATCGGTTGTTACCAGCTTCCAAACCACTGGTGGGAAAGATCTTCCCCTTTTCCAAATTCAGAGCTTTCAAACTTTGCAGCACCCAGGGGGAGAAAGAAACGCAGTAATCAAGCGCTGGAATGTTTTTGTTCTATGGCAACAGAATATTCCTCTGCAAAGGCCTTGAATGGAACTACGCATAGGGCACTGCCTCAAATAAGGATAGCATCTTTCCTATTAACCTCATACAGAGTTGAATGGAAGGATACTTCCTGCTCCTCAAACTCTGAACCTGATTTCTCAGGGAGTGGCCCTTTCCTGGAGGCAGAAACACTTTTGCCTGGACAGTGTCTAGGACCAACCCCAAATACTCTAACTCTGTACTGGCTCCAGGGCTGACTTCTCAAAGTTGAGCACCCAGCCCAAGCGTGCCACATTTTTTCTCAGACTTGGACCACACTGATCCCTGAGCAGTAGATCATCCAGATAGCCCAAAATCTATATTCTCCGAGTTCTGAGCAGCCCCAGAACTGGAGTCAGAATCTTTGTAAACACACAAGGAGTCATGGCTAGCCCAAAAGGTAGTGCCAGGAACTTAAAATGTTGAGTTTCTATCGCAAACCGCAGAAGCTTTTGATGAGCTGGAAATATTGGTACATGCAGGTATGCGTCCTTGATGTCTATGGACGCTAAAAGGTCTCCCTCTTGTAAAGGAGCAACTACTGACGGGACTGACTACATCTGAAATGAACAAATCTTTAGGAACCAGGTTAGCTCTTTAAGTCTAGAAGAGGCCTTACATCCCCATTCGGTTTAGGAACTGTGAAGAGGTTTGAATAAAATCCCTGGAACCTTTTATGCGATGGAACCTCCACAATCGTGGCCTGGGACAACAGCTGGTCGAACGGAAACAAAGATTTCCTTCTCAATGGATTTTGGATACACTGAACCCTAAGAAATGGGTAGCAGGAATGCCCCAAAACTCCAGTCTGTACCCCTGAGCAACTGTATAAGTGACCCACTTGTCCTGGATCAGCTCTCCAGATCTCTGAAAAAAAAAAACAAGTCTTTCCACCACCCACACGAGTGGGGGGCGCCCCTTCATAATGAAGCGGACTTAGAATCTGACCTGGTAGGCTTCTGCACCCAGGGTTTCCTCTGGCCCTGGCCCTGACATTTTCGATGCAGAGCCCTGGTGTCCAGTGAAATGCTTGCCTAACGGAAGAAGCCCCAACCACCAAAGTTACTGGCCCCTTAAAGGTCGGACGTTGGACTTTCGCTTAAAGGGTAAAAGCACACTTTTCCCCCTGAGATCTTCTGGATATACTTGTCTAAGACATCCCCAAACAGACAGACATTCTCCCTGAAAGGGAACATCCGCCAACAATCTTTTGCACGGAAGTTGTGCCGCCTAACTCTTTAACTACAAGACCCTGTGGATGTGTACCGACAGAAGGGCCATGCGAGAGATCTGCTGAATAGAATCCTTAAGGGCATCAACTGAAAAACACAAGGCCTGTGGTAAATCTGCCAAATCCAGCCATATCCTCCTTCAAAATAGATGGTCTTTTAACCACCAGTTTAACATGGTCATTCAGAATCTTGACAGATACTGATAGCAGCAACCGCTGGTTGTGCAGCAGCCGCTGCCAGGGAAGAGGGAGCATTGAGGAGCGAATTCTAATTTTTTTATCTGCCAAATCCTTAAACACCTGGGCATTATCCACACGACAAGTTAAATGCTTATTCAGGGAAGACACAGCTGCGGGGACAGACTAAAACATTTAATGTGAAAATGGCTTAATGTAGCTTAACGTGTAATAAACTGCCTAAATCTCAACTGACTTGAAACTTTGCACAGCTCAAGTTCTCAACTTCCCAAACATGTCCTAGAAGCTTCATAGATTTTGGCCTTACACAAAGAAAATGGGGGACATTAAGCTTGTTTTTTTGGTAGCTTAATGTTGCTTAATGTACAAAAAAGAGCTTAGATGTTAACCAATTTCCCCCAAACATCACACGATAGAAAACTATCTATAGCAACATATTCTGAAAATTTCAGATCATTTGGTAAATCACACCAAAAGTTATTCACATTAAGCTATATTTTACAACTAAAACATTTCATGTAAACAGCTTAATGTAAAAAGAGCTAAAAGCACCATAATGCGCCTAACTCTCAGTCAATTGACTTGAAACTTTGCACAGCCCACGTTCTCAACTTCCCAGACATGTCTTAGAAGTTTCATAGATTTTGACCTGGAGGTAGACTGTACTAAGATTGAGCACACAGTAATTCTCATGAATATATACAGTGGATATAAAAAGTCGACATACCACTGTTAAAAAAGTCAGGTTTCTCTGATGTGAGAAAATGAGACAAAGAAAAATAATTTCAGAAAAATTTCCACCTTTAATTTGACATATAAACTGTACAACTCAGTTGAAAAACATACTGAAATCTTTTCGGTGGAGGGAAAGTAAAAATAAAAAACTAAAATAATATGGTTGCATAAGTGTGCACACCCTCAAAATAATACTTTGTTGAAGCACCTTTTCATGTTATTACAGCACTCAGTCTTTTTGGATATGAGTCCATCAGCATGGCACATCTTGACTTTGCAAAAACTCTTCAAATATGTCACATTACGAAGGCATCTCCTGTGCACTGCCCTCTTCAGATTACCCCACAGATTTTCAATCAGATTCAGGCCTGGGCTCTGGATGGGCCATTTTAAACCTTTAATAATCTTCAGGTGAAGCCATTCCTTTGTTGATTTGGATGTATGCTTGGGTCATTGTCATGCTGAAA